CTACTGGAGTTTTCTAGTTCTTCAGCTGCACTGGAAGCCCCTGGCAGTAAGGAAATGCTATCATTCATTCTTCCAGTTTATCATTAATGCTTCATAGCTGAAAATTATAAAAACACATTTCTTTTTTAAATGTTCTAGTATTTTCTTGATAAGATTTCCTTTTGTCCTAATGCAATGACATATTTTAAATTCATAGATTATGATTGTCTGGCATTTCAAAATATGTTATATTTTCAAAGCACCTCCACAACCAGCAAAGTATCCATTTCTCCTTTTGATTCATCTGCTTTTTATGACCAAAGAAAGATATGCAATCCAATGTGTTCCCTCAGCTCTTAGGTATACATGTTGTGCTTAGGTGCTGAAACTGCCACCAGCCAGGATTTCAGAGGGCATTGAATTTACTCTCTGTCTTTATGCCTTTGACCTATATTAGCGGTTTCAATTCTTACATCTGTACATTTGTTTTAAATTGTCCTAAAACCTTTATAAAGCTTTATATGTAATTTATAAACATATACATATATACCTAATACTGAAATATACCTTCTAAATAGCTTCCAGACATCTTCTGCCCCCCACCTCCCTTTTCAGTTCCCATGTCCTCTCCAGCAGTCTTTTGTTCTCACATGCCACCCAGCACATATAGCTTCTCTATACTTAGCAAAACTTGAAAAGAAACTTCTTACATGACAGCATGAGTTAGCAATGTAGACATTAGTGACGATTTTTTTATAGCAGTCTTAAGAAACACATTTCAGTCATTTTCCCCAAGACCCCTTGGTTATCTTGTCTTGAGTTTATTTTAGTATTCTAGATCAGGGGTCAGTAAAGCTAAGTGGTCAATATTTCAGCCTTTATGGGCTAGGAGATCTCTATTGCAACTACTCATCTCTGCCATTGTAGTGAAAATAGAACCATAGATAATGCATATACAAATGTTCATGACTGTGTTTTAATAAATCAAACTTTATTTATAAACTAGGTGAATTCCAGATATGGTCGTGGACTGTACTTTACTGACCCTGCTTCAAACTCTTCCCACTGTCTGTAATACATCCTCTCAATAAAGTGTCACTGTCACTCAACAACAATGCCTAATCTCTTCCACTTAACCCCAACAAGACTGATGGTTCTCCAGTTAATGGGACAGGACCCTCCTTCCTCAAAAGGCAATTTTGTTGCATGTTTATTGCTTAATACAGCTGGGTAAGTCTGCTGCCTCTCAGATACACCAATGTTTGGTTTAGTTTTGTTTCAAATATATCTCCATCTGCATGAGCAATAGTACTTTTGGAGCCTACAGCCATAATTGAGTTAGAAAAAATAGCTCAATCAAGATACAGAAAAATGGTCTTCCTACCAACAGTGCCCAGCCGCATAACCCTGAAAAAAATGACTTTGTTGTGCCTCGTTTTCTCATCTACACAGTGGGCATAGTGACCTTCCTACCCAAAGACCGGAATCAAGACCAGAAAGTCCATGGGCATTAGACAAATTTCCCCAAACTCGTTTTTTCCAAATGTTTACAGAACTTCTTGAGGTGCCCCTTCAAACCAATTCCTGTACCCAACCTGAGCATTCTAAGTCATCAGCTCTAAGATTCAGCAGCTCTAAGTCATCAGGTGCTGCTAATGTTGAAGTGACTGGTTCAGGAGCCACATTAGGACCCACTGGTTTATATGACAGAATTCACAGTCCGTTGCATGAAGATGCAATGAAGTGGGAGAGGCTACAGTTGGCTCCTCTCCATCTTTTCAAAACTGGATTCTCTCTTGAAGGTATGATAGATTAGTTGGGTTTGCCCACTGACTGCCAGGTGGGAGGCACACCTTACCAGCTAATTACAGGCTAAAAGGAGTCTGATGACCGCTCTCACAAGGGCACGCTGAAAACTTAAAGGCAGGTAAGCAGTCAGGTACCCCATCTGGGGAAGGATGGGAAGAGGGGAAAGTAATTGAGAAGTGAGAAACAGAAATGTCATCACCAATTCCTTTGTATAAGCCACCCTTCCAGAACTTCCTCTTTCCATAAACACAAGTCAGCAGAGTAAGGATTGACCATTCATAGGCCCTCTCCATGTAGTGCAGAGTGGGACGAGAGGAAGAGAAGGCTGAGAAGGTGAGGACTCCACCTCACTGAAGTCAAAGATTGATACATCGAGACAAGTGGATAATTAGTTCTTTTGGTTATGTTGCATGGAAGAGAGGTTCCAGAGAGTGGTGTGTTGGTGGACTAGAGAGATGGGGACAGGTTTTTCCTGGAGGAGGTAAAGCAGGCTGGCAGGAGCTTGGGACGACTGGAAAGGTGAAGCATGCAAAAGGTGAAAAAAACATGAAAGGAAGACTGGATGGGCCTGGAATGTTAAAGAGAAGCCTGGAGGATGAGTGAAGGGGACAATTAAACCTATCTCTATCTCTCCTTATGTGAACTTCAAGTTACTACTTCCCACTTCTGTGTCTCAGTTTCTTCATTTGAGAAATGAAAATTTGGGCAAAATTCCAAGTTTCCAAATTTTGTTCATCTGGAGAAATTCTGGGCCAGAAAAGGGTGAAATGACAGACTGGGCTCAGCCTTTTTCCTCCTCCATCCTCAGCTACAGCCAAGCAGTTTACATTCTTAATCCTACACTCCTGCACAGTTCTGCTTCCAGAAAGTTTTACATATCACATAACAAGAAACTTGGTACATAGAATGGCTTGAGCAGAAAAAAGAAAGGGGCCAGTTAGCACAGGGAATGGACTGCTGGTGAGCTGAACTTGACTCTGGAACATCTAGATAGCAGAGAGACGTTTAGAATAATGGGGGTAGGGACTAGGGCCATTGAATGTTTGTAAGTAGAGGAGTGCCACAGCAAAAGAAGTTAAAATCAGCCCACAAACTGCTTGAGACTGATCTGAAAATCTCCACTGTTGAGAAGGTTCCTGAGTAAGAAAAAGTTGATTTTCCCCCTTGTCAGCCTTCCCTCCCAGGACATTGTACTGTAGCAAAGCGTAACTGTAAGACAAATTTTTTTTACTGCCCTTCTTAGCCCCACGGGCCTTCAGGAAGATCTGAACTTCAAGCAAAGCCTTTTTATTTTTCCAACCACATTCCATTCAACAATCTGAAAGTTTTCCACTTTGATCAAAGGGCTAAACAGAGAGGGCCAAGGGATCAGCCTGTTCTCAGCATCCCTGGGCAAATCACAGAGGCCCTGCACCCACTCATTGTCATACTAACATACCCACCAGCAGGCACACCCCCAAACACAGACTTGCCTCACTCTCCACTACCAAGTGGAGGTGAATACATACACAGTCTTCGGAAACCAGCTTGTCTTGGCCCAAGGGGACCTCACTTCCTGACAGTAAATCCACCCTTCTATTAAACCAAGAAAATAATTCATCAACTCATCTCCTACTGCCTCTTCCATCTCTGGATTCAAGACCTTATGGGTTCTAAGTCAAACTCACTCAAGTGATGCTCAGAAGTTAGGAAATCTCCCAGAGGGCACGATGGTTACAGACCAAGCTTGGCTTTGGACAAAGGGTTTTCCTTAGGGGTTCTGGGCTCTGGTGGCCCACTTTGAAACCAAAAAGTGAACTTAAGAGAAGGGTGTAATAATGAGCAGCAAATGAGGTTTTCAAGGCCAGATCTGAAGCCAGCTGTTAGCAGTGATTGATACTTTAATGTGTTCTGAGATGGAGGTCATTAGTAATCACAGATGTGACTAGCTCTGTATCCAGAGAATCTACTTATTATATCTAAATTCAGACATGGCCCAGGGGTGACTTGGGATGTTTAACAGGAATTGTCCAACACCAGCTGCCAAGTCTATTTCCCATTCATGAAGTGGTCTACATCATCTTGTTTTGATGACTGTAATGCTGTGTGTGTGTGTGTGTGTGTGTGTGTGTGTGTGTGTTGTGTGTGTTGGTGTGAAGGAAAGGCTACAGTGACTTATTCAAGGACAGATACTTTAAATTGTGTTCTGAGATGGAGGTCATTAGTAATCACAGATGTGACTCAGCTCTGTATCCCAGAGAATCTACTTATTATATCTAAATTCCAGACATGGCCCAGGGGATGACTTGGGATGTTTAACAGGAATTGTCCAACACCAGCTGCCAAGTCTATTCCCATTCATGAAGTGGTCTTACATCATCTTGTTTGATGACTGTAATGCTGTGTGTGTGTGTGTGTGTGTGTGTGTGGTGTGTGTGTGTGTGTGTGTGTGTGTGAAGGAAAGGCTACAGTGACTTATTCAAGGACACAGAACTAAAACAAGGAAAGACTAAAACTGGACTGAGGGTTTTCAGCCTTTAAGTGCAGTGAAGGTGAAAGGATTTTGTGCAGGCTTTGGGACCAGGTAGGATTAGATACACAGCCAAGTTCAAGTTCTTTCATAGGTTAACATTTGCAAGTTTGGTTGAGAATGTTTGCATCCTTGCTGAACCTCAATTCTCACACTGTAAAGAAGAAATGTTACCTGCCTTCACAGCGTGGAGTGAGACCATATGTTTGCAGAGCGCACTCCCCAGAACACCCCCACACACTCCACCTGCACCTCCTCCCTCCCCCACCCTGCAGCTAATTCCTTCCCCTTTTTGTGAGTTATAGCAGGCCAGTTATCTGCAATTTAACAGCTCCCCAACTTACAAAGCTTTAATCAAAAGTGCAACTTTCCAGATTCCTGCTCTCTCTAGTCTTTGAATCTGTCCCCAATTTCACACTGCCAATGAGCTCCTATCCCCACGTTGTGGTTTCCTTCCCAGGAAATGGGTGTGACTTCCAGTTTAGAGACTCTAATTTCATCAAACAACCCCGCAGCACTCTGCTGCCATCCAAGGAACACAGCTCCCCAGCCAAGTGACTTCATCTGTTGAGTCCTCTAAGCATGGCCTCCTTAATGTAGTGTGCAGGCTCTGGGCAGGAAGGTGTTCTGTGGCTGAGTCTAAACGAAACAGAAGTGGCTTCGTGCACCACACACACACACACACACACACACACACACACAAAACTGTCATGTTCCTACGCGCCCTCTGACATCAGCCACCTTCTCTGTCACTAGTTTCTCTGCACTCAAATTAATCCTGGGCGATGAAAAATGAACCTCTCCCCCACCCTTGCTGCCGCCTTTTGCCTCACGCCCCAGAGAGAAGTTTCTCCGCCAGGCAGTGGGTGAAGGTTTTTTTCCAAGTCACATGATCCAGGATGCAGGGGGAAAATCCTTCTTGGAACAGAGATGGGCCCAGAACCGGATCAGATGAGGCGAGATAAGGTGTGATGCTGGACAGCCTATATAAAGCATGGAGCCAGGGCTGCAGCCAGCACGCAGCCGCGGGGCCCTTTCCCCTGAGCCAGCCATGCAGGTGCCTCCGGGCCCCATGGCCAGCCACTGGGGAGCCACCAACCGCAGCTACTTCTACCTCACCACCGCCGCGCTGGCTCTATGTCTCGTCGTCACGGTGGCAACCATTATGGTCCTGGCGGTGCAGAGGACGGTAAGTGTACTTCTCTTCCTGGCTTTTCCTTTCTGATTAACTGTCAGCTTCCTCCAGAGGAGCAGCTCTGAAACAAACCAATGCCACAGTTGGGAGCATAATTAAAACTATAAATAAATTAAAGTATGTGTATATAGAAATGTCATGTAAAAAAGAAAGGGAGAGAAAAAACAGGAACTAACTCCCTGAAATCATTTGAATTTTGGAGAGGAACATTACTGGACCATCATCTCAAAACTTTCCCAATCTACAAGAGCCAAAAGAATGGAGAGGAACTCTGGGCCTTGAGAAATTAAGATTTAAACCCTGCCAAGCCAGAGACCCATGGTATAGAGGAAAGAAATGACAGGGAGCCCTGATAGCTTGTCTGCAAGTCATGCTTGATACCATGTCTTCGAGACCTTTAGGTTGATTCTGGGGTTCTGTGTTCTCGGTCCAAGTAGCCCTGCAGCTTCTGAGGTCTCAGACATAGCCAAGGGCATTTGTACTGCTCTTGATTGTGTTTTTTGTTTTTTTTAACAAGCAGCTAAATTCACAGGTTTGGGCACTTCAGCGTTAAAACCCACAAAACAAATCGAAAGCTTCCTCACAAGCCACTGCTTTGAAGAGCTTAGGGTGTCGCAAGAACCAGCCGGCCGAGAGGCAGAGAAAGTAGACATGTTTTTCACCTGTGTTCTCTGAGGTGCCTTAGAACACTAAGCAAATGTGGGGTGCACAAATGTGGAGTGTAGGGCTAAACTGCCCCAGAAGTAAAGTTTACTTTAAAGGAGTAAGATTTGTTTCTGGAAACAGAAGAGATAAAGGAGAAAACTTCTTTGTATTTCAGAAAGTTGCTGTTGACACAGTATCTAAAAGAATATATTGTATAGAAAATACTGTACTAATAGCATATAAGGGCTCACGATTTTTTTTTTTTGGTGAAGTGTTTGGTAATTTGGATAATGTGAAAACTGTATCCCCACATAGGACACCCTGCCAATGGGAGGATGTTTCTGTTTATTACCTCATAGCTCCCACTTTTCATGGTTTACAATCCTACAGGATTTGTTCTGGTTTTCCTTCTGTTGTCTCAGGCCAAATACTCTGCAAGTTATCAATTGCTAAGAAGAAGTAGAGTTTAAAAGGCTTTGATATCAATTTCTCAAATGTTATCAAGTGTTGAAATGTAAACATAGCTTGGAAGCTCAAGTCTCCATCACAGTGAAAGAAAGGAAGTGCTCACATTCAGTTTGGATTGTGGAATCTGTACAATGGGCTATCACCTACTAAGAGTAACTCTCTTAGACACGTTCCAGTGTGCCTTTTCTTCTGTATTAATGCTACAACTCCTATGATTATAATATACCAGAAGTATGTTGTTGTATAGCCATGGTCAGAGGGAAAAAAATTGAGGTGGTCTTCAAGAAGTTCTTCAGGTAGCACTGCTGGACATGGAGGAGAAACCCAGGGACCGGGGGGAGGGAGGGTGTGGAGAGTGATATGTGGCACTACAGAGAATTACAAAAAATAGTTTTCATTCAAATCCAACCAGTAATTGAATTGATTCCTTCTTTGAAGAGATCTTTCTGCCTCCTTTTTGTAAATGCAGAAAATGAGCAATAGGGAAAATAAGAAAATGAGAATGGAACTTGAACAAAGCCACACTGAGCAAGTGGTAGAGTCAGGGTTGCTTGGTTGATTCTTAAAAGCAGCATTCCTTTCTTCAATACAGAGCCACAGAAGCACCAAGAAACTTGGTTCCCAGTCATCTCGGGGGCTTTTTCTTCTTGTGCATCTCTTTCCTTGACATACTGATGCTTTGTGTTTGGATGTGGAAAGATACACTTCACAATCTGAGTCTGCTTTGGTGAGCTGTGATTTCTTAGCCCATGATATCTCAAGCACTTGCTTACAAGTAAAGCCTACAAGCAATAAATATTAATAGTTGTGATGTTAGACACCAAATGCTTACTGCATATCATTTCCAACAAGTTGCTCAGACATTAACTGTGGTAAAAACTAGGAAAGCATGATTTCCTGAGCCTGTATTATCAGGAAAGCGTCCAATAGGAGGAGAGAATGTGGACTGACTTGAGAACAAGTGGAACTTGGCAAAGTGAGGAAGCTAAACAGGACTTCTAGGAAAGACATCAAGGGAGGAACCCAAGGATCTTAGACTCACATCCCATTGTTAAAAACAGAATGGGCAGGTGGCCACCGTAGCACTCTCCCTATGTGAGAGACAGGGATGGAGAACAATGAGGATGGTTTTACTTCCATACATGTGGGCAGTATTTTTTTCTTGGTGGTATTGGTGTTTGAACTCAGGGCCTCATGCTTGTTAGGCAAGCACTTTACCACTTGAGCCACTCTTCCAGCCCACTTCCATTCACATAGTCACTATGGGAAGGAAAGAGAGTGTTTAAGAAAAACTTCTCTGAAGATTAGAGTTTCAGGTTGGCTTGAGAACATACAGATGGAGATGAGGGCGCTTTAGGTCAATGACAGTATGAGGAAAGAGATGGAGGGGAGAACATACAGGTAAACCAACCAGGATAGCCTTGAGATTCGGCTTGAAGATCAATCAACTCAAAGGTCAAGATCCATGTAATTTAGCTTGCAATCTCAAGTGTTCCTTGAGTATCATATGACATTATTATAAGCACTGGGTATATTTCCTTGAACACAACCAACAAAAATCCCTGCTCATGCACTGCTTATAGAACTCTCCAATGTTGCCTCTAAAGTCTCTGTGGTAGTTGAAATTTTGTTTTACTTACATTTAAATCAGTATAGTTATTATAAAATATTCTCTTTACATTGTTTAAGAAAATAGCCAGCAAATAAGGAAAAAGAAAAGAAAAGTAAAAGTCTGTCACACCTACCCCCGAGCAACTCCTCTATGCTGAGATAGCCACCCTAAGCAAACTCTCATGTGTCCTCCATCAATCTGAGAATTGATAATGACACACGTCATTATAATAAACCCATTATTCTGAGCCCTGCTTTATGCACTTGACAGTGTATCTTAGAGCCCCTTCCATGTCTATATGTAGAAATACATTTTCTTCTGTTGAAGAGTCACACAGTATCCTAAGGCTTCACATCGTACCTGATGTTTCAGAATTTATTTCATCTGTGCCTAGTAGGAGACATGATTTCCTCTAGATTTTTTGTCCTCTCTGCACGTCTACAAATAGATCTGTGGAATAAATTCTCATAGGTAGGAATACAATGTATATTTTCACTTCAGTAACTTTTCAATCAGCTTCCAAAGAGATTATACCAATATACTTTTCTGTTTTGTTTTTCTGTTGCTGTGGTTGGTCAGTTTTTGGTCTTTGAGACAGGGTACTTAATATGCAACCAAAGCTGGCCTTGAGCTTGCCATCCTCCTGCCTCTACCACCTTCTTGCTTGTTGGGATTATAGACATGTGCCATTGCACCCAGCTAAACCTAAATTTTCTTTTTCTTTTCTTTTTGCTATAATTCTAGAGAATGAACCCAGGGCCTTGTACATACTAGGCAAGCAACTCTACCTCTGAGCTACATCTTCAGTCCTTTGTACCAATATAGTCTTGAGGAAGGAAAAGTCTTACCAACTAAGAGACAGCTCTTCACATCAGTATGGGATTATTATTGAGTAGGCTCATCAGTACATTCATATAAACAGCCTGCAAAATATTACAGAGTCAAGACAAAATGTCATTTAATATATACAGCAAAGCCATAGAAAAACAATAAAACTTCTCTTATCTCCTCAAAAGAAAAAGGAATTTATGATGAGACAGGCTCCTAGGTTATTCCAGGTTACGTTTCAAGGGGCCTGGAAACCCTCAATCTTGGAGATATCTTTTCTAAACCTGGAAACTGAACTAATTCAGCTCCTAATGAGAATTTAAATGGCCACATTCCAAAAGATCAGAGCAAAGGCTCAGGACTGTTCAATTCAAGAACTGTAGGCTGCCTCTAGAAAGAAAGAGAAAGCAGCTGTCTCTTTTCTCTTTATAAAGAAAAACAATTATTATTTTTAAATGTATCCTTAGGGCCAGTCATGGTGGTTCACACCTGTAATTCTGGCTACTCAGGAGGCAAAGATTGGGAGGATCATGGTTTGAGGCCAACCTGGTCAAAATTAGCAAGACCCCCATCTCAAAAAACAAGTCTGGCAGTGGTGGTCTATGTCTGTAACCCCAGCTATACAGGAGACTTAGGTAGGAGGAACAAGGTCGAAGGTCTGCCCAGGGGAAAAAAAACAAAGACCTTACCTACAAAATAACTTAAAGCAAATAGGGCTGGAAGTGTGGCTCAGTGATAGCACACCTGCCTAGCAATGTGAGGCCCTGAGTTCAAACCCAGATCCACCAAAAAATATATATATATATCTTCATGGTACCCCTCTTCCTCCTCACCAACAGTGTAAGTGAGCACCTATTTGAGGGTACTGATTGTTGGTAAGGGTGCTGGTGTGGTTTTTGTTTTTTTTAAGTTCAGATACAGTATAGGAGGTGAGTTGAAATACCCTGTGTCACTTCTCCCTTCCCAAGAACTCTCTTTAGCTTACATTCATTCCATTAAAGAATCAAAAAATAAATAAAACAATAATAAAAACCCTCCCCTGAGAATATTCTGAGGACCAAGCCCTATGCCAGGCTATGAGGGAATGAACCACTGGGCAGAGAGGACCCTGTCTTCCAGGAACTCTGCTGAATTAATGATATGAGGCCCAGGAGCTCGTGCTCTGGGCAGAACACCACATACCAGAGGAAAGAGGCATTTCTGCCTGGGAATTGGAGGCATTTGTGAAAGAACTAGACTGGAAGCCAGGCTTTCAAGAACTAGAAAGATCATGTCTTATGCTCAAAGTTTTATTTTGAAAAATTTCAAAAATGGAATGGAAAAGCCCGTATAACCTTTCACCTGCAATGGCCAAGTGTTAATATGTGGCCACATTTGTGCTCTCTCTATATGAAAGTAAGCTGTGGTCAGTATGACCTTCCATCCACATGAACTTCAGTGC